GACTGCTTAGGTGCCACTGGTGACGGCACTGTATCGATACTTTTAAAAACGAGTATTGTATCCAGATACAACATTTCAGTATCGATACTTTTTTGAGTTTCGATACTTTTGACAACCCTATTCTATATACAGGAATGGTTTGCCACCAATCATAAAGCTCCCTTGTATGAGCCAATCACAAGAAAGTACTCTACCTGGGACGACACCCCCTGATCCCACATCCTCCTTCAACCCTCTGCTCCACCCCGCTCTCATACGTCGTGCATAGCACTTGGGCAATCATGTTAAGAGAATTGTTCCACATCCAACGCTACGTATAAGATGCATTAACCCCAAAAATGAGTCTTGATTAAAGACTTTCATTAAAAAACAGATTTGTTTCTACTGTATATTCCATGCAATCCAATCATACACCACAACCTGAGAATGAGTGAAAAGAAAAAGGAAACTAAAAAACAAATTAGTTGTGCGCATACGGTACCACAACTGCACAACTACGGGAACCGCAGGCACAGATGGACTGGGAATCCAGGGCTGTTGGCCAGCCTCATTCATTACTCATACAGGTTAATCATCTCGTTAGTTCAAGAAATCAATAACTGTTTTGACATGATAACGAGATAATTATCTTGCTATCTCGGAAAAACAATGTTTTAACCGTAATAATGAGATAGTTATGTCATTGTCTTGAGAAGGCAAAGAAAAAAAAAAGTCGAGTACAACCGCTCTCGGCTTCCATATATATGAGATAACCCCCACAGCATTGCACTGCCTGTTTGCTTGTTTCTGATTCTTCTCATGGGCGCCACCTACTTATGGAACTCCACTTCCAACCTACAAAGGCATTTCTCTTACAGATGTGGCACCATTTAAAATGACCCAACAAGCTTTTCAATGGTGTAAGATTTATGGTCCAGAAACATTAACACAAGAAAAGAAATCATAATAGTTTCCTACCTTTTTTGCTGTTTATTAAGAAGGGTGTAAAGCAGATGTCAAAAAATATATATATTTTTTTCTGTTCCAATAGTTATACTTTTTAAGGCAAACCTCCAACTGTAAACAGTAACACTACTCCTGGCAAACAGTCTTCAAATTAGAGTACACAGGTTCTGTTTTTCTCTGTCCCATTCACCACCTGTGTTTCACCCTTTCTTTGGAGATCAAGGTGACTACAGCTTCAATGCAATACAATCTCAATAAATTTTTAACTTACTGTGCCAAAGTCAAAGAGAATCCCTAAATATCACCAGCTTTATCCAAATTGTCAAATGTAAACCTTTTACATGAAGCTTCAAACTCCATAAAGCAAAACATTAAAAAATTTAGAATAAAATAATCTTTTACCAGTTTTGTTCCATGAATAATTTGATTGACTGTAACCAGTTTGTGTTATTAAACTCATGTTCCAGTGCAGTGCCGCACAGCTTTAATAGATACTCTTTTTTGTGTATTTTACACATGTGCAAGCACTTACTGATGTGCCAACCTCAATTTCATTTTTCCCTTGTCACTTTCAGGAGGGGTTTTCCCTGAAGACTTCTCCATTTTGTTTACCATCAAGCCCAAAGCTGGGCTCCAGTCTTTCCTTTTATCTGTATATAACCAACAAGGCATCCAGCAGCTGGGAGTGGAGGTGGGCCGTGCCCCCGTCTTCCTGTATGAGGACCAGCATGGCAAACCCGCCCCAGAGGAGTACCCTTTGTTCCGCTCCATCAACCTTGCTGATGGCAAGTAAGTGACTGCCTTTACAAAAGGCCTTTAAACACAGGAGGGAAAAAGTGGGTGGCTGATGTTTGTGTTCACCGAATTTTCTCTTTACCAGGATTTAACCACCAGATCAACTCTAAACTGAGGTTTTGGTATTAAATTTCAAAGACTTAAATTGTGAAATCTGTGGGATTATCTGAAGGGTAATGCATCACAATTTAAAGCTCATCCAAACACTTTTAATAAGATTGATAGGTTGTGTTTTATCTTAAAAAGAACCAGTCTGCACAGAATATTTTTCCAAGCGCCTCTGGCCTGCTAAAGTGACTTATAACTCTGCAGATTAATTATTATCATGTGTTTGTTTAGTCGTTAATAGCACATGGAACAATTTAGACAGTAATTGCAAATAAATTGTAGCAAACAATATAATGACAGCCTTTGTTTTCTCCTGACAATTTACAGTCATGGTGCAGTGATATGGAACAATGGTTGGGATCTTTATGACCTGCGTAGCTCCAAGGGAAACATATCCAAACATTGTTATAAAAGTTGTCATTAATCATTTAAAGAAATGCTAAGAGAAATGGTTAAAAGTTTTTCCATATGTTGATATCTTACTGGTAAGACTTACATCAAAAACATCATGTCTATACAGCGACATGGAAAAGTATTCATGTCTATAGAATTCAACCATGTTTTTTTATTAAGAATTAATGTGAGACGCTTAATTATCTTTTTTAGAAACAAAATAATCAAAGTGTGGCTGTTATTGTATTAAGGCTTTGGTTCCCTATCCACCAATACCCCTGAATAAAAATTAAAAGACTTAAACTGTCATATAAAAAGTTGCTATAACAGCCTTAGTTAAATAAAAAGGAACGAGGTCCATAATACCTAAATGCTATAATTAATTAAATGAGTATAATGATCTGCAGCAAAAACTGGTCTTTTATTGTGTGGGTGAATGTTTATTCCTGAGAAAGATTAAAAACACATGATTTGGTTTTTGTTCTATTTTAATGCATTCATGCCCTACTTTCTGAGATATATATATATACATTTTTTTGTTTCAAGTTGAAAATATTACAAATACAATATTTTGTTTTCCATCAAATTTAGAATTATGCATTTGTTTTTAGCAAACATTATAAAATTTTAAGAGACGTACATGCATATCATCAGGCTTTTAGCTAGGAATATTCATAAGGTGTACGCCTTGGTGTATCGCATCTTTAGATTTTGCGCGCCGTAGGGAATTATCAAGTTTTGAAATGTAGACTCTCTGAAACTCTATTTCCTGCATATTGAGGTGGAATGCAGCTAACTTTTTTGTCTTTGTTACAACACTACTTTTGTGTGATTATGGGAAGTTTGTGACTAGAGGTGGAAATTTCATACGGAAGACATGATATCATTTAGGTAAAATATTATATTTCATAGGTTAATTCAAATCATCAGAAAGTGTAATGCTACCTTCATACCGTGATTTGAGCAACAGAAAAGCGCTGCTGCTTCATTTTTGATGTTTGTAAGGTCAGACAAATGAAGAAAAATAAGGTGTTTACAGCAGCTTGACCATATTTGCTCTGATAAGTGGGTAAGAAGTGGTTTTAATATATTTTATAATACATTTTTATGCAACAAAGTCCACCTAAAACATAATCTGTGCAGTCATATCATCAAGATTACTGCGATCCTGCCTTCAAATATTATTTTACTGTGCGGTGCACTGTCGCTGGGAATCCCCAGATGCAGCTGCCTTTGGCCTAGTTGCCTACTGGGGTTTTTTCCCCTACTGAAAGCAGATGTTAGTGTTTTTCAGGTATTTGGTAGAAACTTCAGGCACCAGAACAATAAAACCAAACAAATTTTGCTGGCAGGGGTCCCTATTTTAAGTTCATTTAGGCGTTAAGAAACTATTTAAGTGGAGTCATCATAGCTCTGTGCATAAGCAGCGATGTCCTGCCAGCTCGCAGATCAGCTTCTCTGATGAGTTGATGTGGCGCGTCAAGCAGCACAAATTAAAATTTTTCTAACTCCAGCCAACAGGGGTTCTTATGTTTTTTTTTTTTTTTTTTTAGCAAAGGCCATACAGTACAATGTACGCCCATATGCATTTCTCGTTAAAAGCCTGCATATCATAGTTCTTTACAGTAATTCTTATCATTCAGATTTTTTTAAATTGAGTTTTGAAGAAATAAACCAGCAAAGCACAAAAGTAACAAAAGACTAGCTAACTTGTTTAATAGAATTCATTTCATTTACTCTTGCTTTAAATCATACTCCTTTATTTTCACAAGTAGTATTGGCATTGAAAGGTCAACATAGATGCAAGCTTCATTTCTCATATCTGTCGTTTTGTTTCTCAAACCAATTTTCAGAGTCAATATTTGTTTTCCTCTTTGTGACTCACATCCTTGTTTTAATTGGACAGATTGTACAGTTTACAGCAGACTTTCTGAAGTACAGAACATGAAACCTAGTGGTATAAAGTTTGCTTTACTCTCTCCACTGCTGTTTTGACAGTGGTTAACAAACCTTTGTTAACTTTAGCCAATTCCTGTTTCTGAAACTGTTGAATTGTATAATGAAAAACAAAGTCATCTTAGATGTCATAAATCTGATTTCAGGACTGATGCCCTTTTTTCTGTTTATATCAACTGAATCCCAATGAAAAGATTTCCTTGTGTTGCTTTGCAGGGTTAAAAAAGGTTCTGTGCAGATGGGTTAAATGTAGAAGAAATATGCATAACCTTAAGGGAACGTTAAAAAAAATCTTCTCATTAAAAAACTGCTTTATGATACAGATCAAAGCAAACTAAAAATGGCGAATAAAGGTTTTGTCCTTGCACCATTAGCAGGAGATAAATCTCTGGATGTCAGGTACACAAAATTTTATTGATGACCTTTTGAACGATCATGAGCTTTAGACGGACTAGCAGGCAGATTTTGTTTCACACTCTGTGACGGCTGTTTTTCATCTGCTGAAAAGCATGACTGATGGCTATTTCATTCCAACAACTGCTGCACATACTGTAGAAAGAGAAAAATACACAACACTGAAATATTTTCCCTGAATAAGCAGTTCACATATACATACAATGGAACTATTTCTTATACAGTTTTTAACGATTTCTCACCTCTCTTCTTGCCTTACAGATGGCACAGAGTGGCTATCAGTGTTGAGAAGAAGAGCGTTACCATCTTTGTGGACTGTAAGAAGAAAGTGACCAAACCACTTAAAAGAAGCGACCAAGCTGTGATCAACACTGAAGGTATTACAGTCTTCGGCACCAGAATCCTGGACGACGAGGTCTTTGAAGTAAGTTTGAACTTCCGTTAAAGAACTCTTGGTCTGTAAAGACATATTTCCTTTTTTTAGTTTGCATTTTTAAAATTGTTTATTTGATTCATCCTAATCATAATTTTGAAGATTACATTTAGAACATATAACTTCTTTGCAGTCTATTTGTTATGTGTAGGTATAGAAGCCCTTATTGAAGGAAACAATGGCAATATTTTTTGACATTGACTTTGCAAAGTAAATCTTTAAACATTCTTGTTACATACTTATGGAGCTATGTTCTATCAACAGTTCCTGTCTGGCAATGTGGCAATAAGAATAATTGTCTTGATGCCAAAAAGAGCCCAACAGACTTTACTTTCACAAGTGTAGCAGTACGGCAATTGCCATATTGCTCCACTTGTTTCATGCATATAAATTGCTTTATTATAATTGTGCAGGGAGTTTTGCAGTTTATATGGACACTGCAATGTAAATAGAGCAGAAAAACAGAAGAAGAAAAGGGAAAGAAAAAGAGAAAAGATCAAAGAAAGAGGAGATAGAAAGGAGACAATGACAAAACATTTTTAGTCTGCTTCATCACCTTTAATGAGATGAAAGAAGAACAGCACAACCGAAAGACATGGTACGAGACATACAATAAAGCAACACCTTGAAACTATCGCTGAAGTAGTATTATTAAGTCTGACATGTACTCTGTGTTGCCTGAAGATATGAATCATCAGTTCTAGATATGTTTTGTTTTTATCAAAATAGAAAAAAGGTAATTCTTATTAATGAATATAACAAAACCAACTTATTCCAATATTTGACATGTGGAATTATTACATTTTAAAAGATTAAAAGCAGTCCCTAATACAGTTAGGGACTTATGAACTTAAAATTTTATTGCAGTTGACCTTTAAGTCTCATGGTTTCGGGTACTTCTTAGTTTAGGACATAGTTAAACCAGCAGTAACTTTTCTTGCCATTTGATTTGCAGTAACCAGCTGTGCCAATCTGAAATGGCAATTTTATGCTCCCAGTGCAAACATTTCAATGACGCAATTTAAGGCTATAGATTTCAGATTTTTCTTTTATTAAGTTATAAATACTTTGCAGTGGTGGATTTTATTGGCCAGAACAACAATGTTGGAATTGGATGAATGTCTCTTAAAAAGCCTCTTGCACAATGTGATAATCATTATATTTTTCTCCCCTCAGCACAGACTGAGTTGGTTTAAATATTTGACTAACTTTGAAGACAGAAGTCTGCTTTGAACAGATGTCATACTATTCTGTAAATATTTACAGCAAAACAGTTGGAATGGAGGGTTAGAATTTGCAGAAATATCCATTTGGTTTTATGATTGAGGTTGCAGTGGGGTTGCACAGGTAGTGTCCTGCTTCGTGGAAAATGTGAGCTAAATGCTACCATAAAAAAACAGGCTCTCTTTGATGTCACTGCACATGGAATGCATGCAAAGCGGAGCAGCCTGCAAGATGTTTGCCTCCAGGTCAGAGATTACTTTCCACTGTAAAGATAGTTGAAAATATCGATGCAACTTTTCATCACAAACAGGTTTTTGGTATTTAAAACTATTTCCAGTAATACTTAACACACAGATGACATGAGGTCATCAAATCCAATCCATTCAATGTACATCTTTGTTTTTTAATGTCTTTTTAAAGACTTATTGTTATAAATTATTTGGAATAAGAGTAAATGGGACATGAATTGTAATTTAGCTAATTAGGAGATGAAATATAGTAGCTAATCTATTTTTAGTTTGGGTAGGAGCTGCTTTTGCTCCTTTTTTAAAGACCAATTATACTAAATCGTCCTAAATTACAGAGTAGTTTGTTTTACTTTTAGAACCTTTATAAGAGGTGCCTTTTGTTCCAAAGTTTCAGGATTTTCACAGGTAACAAAAACGTTTAATTAGTGTTTAATACAGAAGCAGCATGTAAAGTTCAAACACTGGCGGTTCTAGAACCAAGTTTCTAGGCCAGGGAGGCTTGAAACAGTTTTTATGTCTTAAGCCATCTGCCCAACAGCTTTGGACGTATAAATATTATAAAGAGCAAATCTTTAAATACCTTTAAGCTTCGTTCAAGAAATTGTTTTTTTTTTTGTGAAAGATCATGTAAAAAGAATTCTCCAATTTTTTTCTAAACACATTTAAAAATGTCATAAATGTATTGTTCTAGACATGTAAAAACAACCTTTAATGACTGCATTGTGGGGCAGAGAAATAATTTGAGACATAGTTTTATATTCTTAGTTGTGTTTTTAATTATTTAAATTCAGAAGTGGTATGATAAACTGAAAACACACATTTATTTCTACTTTAAACTGTCTTTAAAAAAAATAAGAAAAATAACTTTTCAACTTTTCAAGTAACTTTATCTGTAAAATTTATTTTGGCATTGTATTCAAGTCTACCTTACTGCAATAGATTCCACATGCAGGTGTCAAAGCTGGACTTGAAGGGAGCCCTGCAGGCTGAAGGAAAATATGAGCAGAGTGCGCTCAGTCCTGGCCTGACATTCACAGATGTTTAAGAGATATACTCGATGACCTGTTCCCCAAATGCTACAACCCCCATTACACATACCCCCCAACCCCCACACACAAATATATGTATATATGTATAAATGTACACGCATATATATATATATCTATATATATATAGATATATATATATATAGATATATATCTATATATATATATATATAGATATATATAGATATATATAGATATATATATAGATATGCGTGTGCATTTAAACATTTAAATAACCATTTAAACTTAAAGGATTAATTTTAAACAAAACCTTTTTTAACAATAGCATTGTTTTTTGTGGGGTTTTATTTGTCTGTTTGAAGGTCATTCTGTGTTACTTGGTTAAGCAGATGATGAAGGGCGGTGAAGATATTTTGTCCATGTTCCAAATGTTCCAAAATGCTTTCCCTTGAGCTGGGCTGATGTTTGCAGATGAACAGCTAGAGGCTGATGGGCTCCAAGCCTTAAATAAATTGTTCTTCACAGTTGTCAGGCGGAGAAACAAAGTCATTGTGCTTTAATCATTCTATGATTTAGATGCAGTTGATCAAAATATTTCTTTTTGTTGAGGATATCACTTCAGCATTTAATGTTTCTATGTTTTTTTTTGTTTACTTTGTATCAGAAATTGACGCAAATTAATGCCTAAATTTGATGCCTTCAAGTAAAGTGGCCTTCTTATTTTATTACATGTACATTCTTAAAGATTTGTATGCATTAATTTCCAGTCCATTGTTCTCTGATTGATCTAAACAATATTCATGCAATCCAATGAGTTTCCATTTTTTTTTAAACTGATTAGATCTTTGATTGGTGCATTCTTACATATTAAAATACTTTGGTTTTAATGTACATCTGGTATATTTAGGAAGATTGTCCTCCTGGAAGCTAAGTCTCTGCCCCAGCCTCAAGTCTTTTGCAGACTATTATATTTTTCCTTTTTTTTCAGTTTCCCTCTGTTTAGCCTGTTTCTACTTTCCTTGTCCAATATGAACAAAAAGCATCTCATAGCATGATGCTGCCACCTCCATGTTGGTAATTATTATTTTAACTTCTGTTTCCTACAGCCAATTCAATGGTGATTTGGAGGTATTTGCACATGCATATATGTGCTGCTGGGATGAATGTGTTTCTGGGAATAATATTACAGTGACAGTACCCAGATAAACAATGGCAACATGCTAATGCTAGTATGTTTGCTTCTCTCAGGAATATCCAAATAAGAGTCATGTTATTTTCTGTGACTGAATTATTATTAAAATCATTGAGAATTATTAATGGGCCTTAGGGATCCAAACATACATTTTGAGCAACATAGATTTAAGAGTGATGATAAGTTTAAGCAAGTGGCATTAACATTTGTTGAGAAATGTTCCTATACTAAGATAAGATGCCACAAACCACCGGCTGCTGATTCAGAAAATAATTTGAGAATTGCAAACAATCTTAGCAGTGATAAACTGGATATACAGCAGGTCTTACTTAGCACCGGTTACACTAGTAAGCTTTGTTGCCAGATCACTTGAATCAATAGGCAAAAAGATCTATTATAAATTGCTGAGGAAACACATTAACCCTTGTAGCTTTAAAAGTTATTGAAAGTTATTTAACAAACTTTTTTATCCCAATGTCTGCAGAAACAGCTGAAATGTATCAAAGTTTTACCTTTGTTTTTTCAGTTTTATTTGACTTGAATGTGGAGGCTCATTATTTGCTTCCTCCAATACAAACCGCAGACACCTCCAGCTGGTAATCACAAACATTTGACTTAATTACCTACTTCCAAAGAAGTTTTGTAATCAGCTGCATAAAAAAAAAAAAAACACCCTCTCTTTGTTGTCTCTCTGACCGCCGTGACTAATGATTTAATCCTAACAGGAGAATCAGAAGACTCACAGTCTGGGAATAATAAAGCAGTGTCCGTCTGCTTCTGTAAACTTCTTAGTTTATAATAAAATATGAAACAAGCTTCAGGAAGAAACAGAAGGGTTTTTAGTTTTTATTTTCTTCTTTTTTTCTCTGTAGCAAAAGAAATAAGTACCTTTTTTGCGACCTAAACATAAATACCTGGCTTGCTCATTAACTAATTGAATATTGTCATGTGTCAAGTGAAGGTCAAAAATTCTGAGACAAAAAGAAACATTAATAGGTTTGTATTTCTGCATCCGTGACAAGATGATTTCTGTCATTATGTCTGAAATGGAGCTGGGCCTATTGAGCTCACTGCTGTAGATCATTCCTGGGATTCTGAGAAGGAACAAGAACACATACCAAAAAGATGTGCAGTCTGACCCAGACGTGAACGGCAACAAAATAAACAGAGATATGCTTAAGGAAGTCACAAGGATGAAAGAAAAAGCTGAGGGAGGCATGGAATGAGGATTTCATCAGGGAGTGTGGGATTGACTGAATCACTCCGAGGCTTAAGAAACTGCCTTATGTGTGTGGTCTGTTGATGAGATTTCAGTGTGATTTTCATTTAGAGTGTTTTGTACATATAATGACTGCAGGCATGTTTGGAATGGTAACCTTTGTTTAAAAAGGGAGAATTAAAAGAATATAGTGATTCTACCCAGACATATATAGTTGGTAGAGGAGGAAGCAGACATAGATCATGCCAGACTGAAGGTGTGTTTAATTGCTCCTGTCTTTTCCCAGTATGCTGCAGTATTAACACTGTTATTTCTCCAACACATTTTTTAAGCTGTTTATCGTGTTAAGTAAAGAGGTTTACCAGGTCAAACTAATTCCCAGATGTTTTTCTACACCCAATTCGACAAAACCCCCTAACAAACTCCCTCGATAAATTGCATAAGCTTTTGTAGCCCTTGAAGTTTTTAACCCTCCTTTCACATTGTAGCCAAAACATGTATTATATTATGTTGGAATGTTTCTTAATCGATTAAACATAATGTACTCTGCAAAAACCTATCCAAACACAATAAAAACTTTCATAATATAACTGTATTTTCCCATAACTCGAGGAAGTAAATAAGAACATCTGCCTATGGAATACATATTTGTTCCCCTTAAAATGAAATAATTTGTTATTATGCACTTGAAATAAGATAATAGAGTTCTTTTTTTCTTATTTTAAATGAAAATTATGTTATTTCATTTTTTTTACAGTGTATTATGCGAGATATTATTTATGGGAAAGTGTGGGTTAGGTTATGAAACTATATCCAAAGCTTTAAACATCTCATAGAACCTTGTTCAATCCATCATTTTAAGTGGAAAATGAACGGGAAATTGGTACTCTGACAAATACTGGCCATCCATTTAAAATGATTGGCTGGGAAAGGGAAGCATAACTCAGGAAAACAGTCAAGAGGCCCATGGTGACTCAGTAGGAGCTGCAGAGATGACTGTTAAGTTATGATAATCTGTTGACAGGGCAACTGTTAATCATGCCCTCTGAAAACTTGACACATTGCAAAATAAATCAATTTGGGAAAGAGACCAAAAGATGTGTTGTTTGCAGTTTTCAAAAAACTGGGACTGGGAAGCAAGTTATTGTTTACTTCCCAGTGATAGTAAGATTGAGGCAATCCTGAAAGAAAAACCTGCCAGATTACAACATGGGTGAGTGTTCTTGTGCAGTTTTGATGTTGATTTTGGTATTTACCATAATTACGATACCACATTAAGGCAGCAGTAGTAATTTAGTTAATTAAAGTAACTATTTCCTAATGTTGCATTTTTAAATAGTCAATTTAAAAGAATAAAATATATTAATCTGTGCTACTTTGTGTGTTGGACAACTTTATTTATTTAGTTAATTTTTTTTTAAATGTTTTTATGTTTAGGGAAGAATACACGTAAATGAACATTGATGTAAATGTGTCGTAGCCATAAAGCTGGTTTTTTAGCTGTTATCCCTGTGTTTAATGCCAAGTGAGTTGCAATATAATTATGTACATGCCCTTGTGTTTTTGTTTATAAAAAAAAGACAATTTGATGTTTTAGAATTTTACAAGGAATGTAATAAAAGTAAAAGATACACTTTACAATAGACGTAAACAGGGATTACATTATTCTAGAATTTTTGAATTGAGAAAGCTTTCTGGATGGGCAGCGAAAAGTCTTCAAACTTGGAATACAAAGTCCTGTGTTTTTAAATATTTTTGGAATAATTCTAGGAAAAAACATAGCAGGATTTTATTATCCCAGTTTTTCTATGTGAAAAAACAGTGAAAAATGCATAAATTCCCAAAAGTATGAAGCAGTATATAGGCAGGCAATTATCAGTGCGTTGCCAATGGTTAGATGCTGTTTGGAGCTTCTTTAGATTAGAGATGCCTCTGACTGACTTAATGAGTAAATCACAGGAACCTTTAGCCATTGACTTTCTTTCCATTAGGAACTCTCTCATTGAATCAGTGGCTCTGCTCAATTGTCTCTTCTCTCAGTCCGTGTTCAAGGCATGCTGAGCACCCATCCACACTGCGGTTCCTCACCCAATGGGTGCTACGTACGCTTCTTTCAGCTCCCTGCTGCTTAGATTTTTAGGTACCGTAACATCATTACCAATATGTGAAAATTGACTGGTTGGATTGCCTTATCAATGAAAAATTACCACAGTTACAAACACCGTTATTATGTAACCCTGTTGTTCTCAACATTTGTAATAATTTGACAAAATGTTAAAAAGTTCCACTGGAAGGAATACTTCCTTAAGGTACAGCAACTATAGAGAATTGTGATCATTCGGACCCCACAGAGTGATTTCTTGTAAGGAAACCTAAAGAAAAAAAATGATACATCTGTTTTCAACCAAAGAGCTATGATCCAAACAGACTATCCCTCTATAAACCAAAAAGCTTAATTAACCTATGTTTAATTTAGGTTGTCCCAACACTGCTCAGATTTACTGGTTACATATGATGGGAGTGCAGAGCGATGAGAGTTTAATTCCTTCCAGAGGTTTAAGCTTATACAGATGTTGCCTCCTGTCATTTAATGCACTCTGCATGAATGAACTTCCTCTTAAAGGGCCACCCTGATTGTACCCTCTCTTTACTTTTTGAGAGTAACTTTGCTAGATTTTTTATACTGAGGTGGAATCCAAAGAATGTGAAAAAGCCAGGTGAATATTAATTGCGTTTTTCTTTTAGAATACAGGGAAAGTTCGTGCTGATTTTCCTGTAAATCCCCATGATAGTATCATGGAAAATATGTCTTTTGAACCCTTTGGAGAGGAGATCTAATTTCCTTTTCCATAGGCTCATGAAAAACAGACGGCTTCAGATAAGTACAGTCTTTGGATTTTTGTCTGCTGAGTACAGGGACTTGCTAACCTTAATGATGGAGTATGGGTAGCTGTAGAATAGTTCTTTTTAAAAGCTTTCAGACTCCCCTACAGCCTAGTAGCTTCCTATAAAGCTTGATCTAATTAATAGTCAGAAGACTATTCTCTTTAGTATTTAACATCCGCCTTGTGCTTTTGTTTTTTTTCTTTTTATTATCTCATTTTATTACCGTCAAGCTGGTGGAAGACCTTGGGCAGTCTAGCCAAAGGAAAAAGAGCACACTTTATAGGCATTAAATAATCCCTGTTACAGTATGCTCTCTGAGGTTTTCCCCCTTTTTTCAGGCTTTATAGAAGTGTCTGTTGAGTTCCAATGTTATAAAATCCATGTCAGAAGTAGTTCTAATCACCAGCTGTATCAGAAATGTGTTCCTGAATTTGTGAATCTGATTATTTATACAGTAGTTCTGGCTCCTGCTGTTGCTGTACTTATCCAAACTACATGCCTTTGATAAACATTTCAGCAAAGTCTCCCCAGGAGCTAATTTGGCACAGTTTTAAGAAAAAAAGAACAGCTGTCTGTACTCCACAAGTAGGAAAACCAGTCAGAATAGACATGTTGGAAATTAAATAAGGCTTACAGGAATTGACCAGAAGCCATGCAGCAAAGAACAGTGCCTTAAAAAAGATTAATCTTCATTTTTCTAGGTTATAAGTGTAGATTTGAATGTTAAGTGACACTTAAAGAAGCATTATATGCTGTTTTACGGTAACCCAAACTAATATTCTTTGTAACCAACTACCTTTATTAGTCTCCTTATGAGTGAATAGAACAAACTTTGTGAATATTTAAACCTAATTTTAAATCGATATGCCTTCTTAAGGGACATGAGGTTTTATAGACGGAAAGAAGAGCATCATCAATACCAAGAAAAAACTGAGTAAACAGGCCAGGGGTACAGTTATGGAGAATTTTGATGCTGGTCCTATGTATAATAGACCACTGGGAAGAGACACAGCATGTCACAACTACAAACCAAGCAAACTATACACATCAAATCTGTAGGAGTTGCCTTTTTGAACAGCAAGCCAAATTTTATCTGTGGCAGAGAAGTAAAGACACATTACTACAGAAGTAATGGTGAAAATGGATGCTTGCAACATTATGCTGTAGTGCCTTACTCTGGTAGGGACACAAGAAGGAAGATGGATGGAGCTAAAAATATCTAAACAAATTTGAAACTGCAAAGGTCATGCTTTGAGTTTCACCTTCTGGCATTCCCTCTTACACAATCTGAGCTACAACCCATAGAGACAATTTGGATGGATGGATGG